CTTAGGGTCCCTACTGTAGCTCTATATATACAGCATTAGGCTTTTGGAAGAGAAGATAACAATCCCACACCTTGGGAAACACGTCCAGCCCTCTCTCTCTCTCTTCCAAGGAGTTCTTTTATCTCTTGTGTTCCACTAATGCAAGATCTAGAAAGCTGTTTGAGAATACAGTAGAAGATCTTAAGGTATAAAGAGATTCCAATCATACATCCAAACCGGAGACCAAAACCAGCAAGTGACCATATCACGACAACCAGGACGACGAGACAAAGAGATCACCGTCGAGATTGCCGCCGGACTCTGCCGCACGCGCCGCCACGCGCCGCCGGAAGGTACCAGTTGCTGAAGCTCAATCGCGCGCGTGAGGGCGCGTGGATCCTCCGATTTCCGACCGGTCAACGCCGTTGACTTCCCCGTGACGTCAGCTTTCTGGATTGGTCAAGTTTGTTCGATTCCGAGAAGATTTGATTTGCGGTCAACTGTTCGGGCCAGCCAGATCTACATAAATTTTAAGCAGTAAGTTTTCTTCATCAAACCTTTAGATCCGCTGCGCATAGGTTTATGTTGAATGTTTGTCCATGATTTGTGAATATCGAGATCCTCATGGGTTCTAACAATGACTACTTTACCAACTGGTAAGAAAGCCATAGGCTCAAAATGGATCTACAAAATTAAAAGAATATCAGATGGGACAGTTGAGAGATTTAAAGCAAGGTTGGTTGCCAAGGGTTACACTCGACAAGAAGGAATTTTCTGTGACATATTTTCCCCTGTGGCAAAGCTGGTTACAGTTAGGTTGTTCATATCCATAGCTACACTGAATAATTGGGTACTTCATCAAATTGATGTGAATAATGCATTTCTGTATGGGACACTCACTGAAGAGGTGTATATGCATCCACCCCCAGGTTACACTAAAGAACAACTTGGTGAAGTTTGCAAACTTAAAAGGAGTGTCTATAGGTTCAAGCAGGCCTCTAGAGAATGAAACAAAGAACTGAGCAACAAACTTAGTTCTTTTGGCATGGTTCAATCCTCTCATGATCATTGCTTATTCACTCTACACAAGGATGCTGATTTTATGGCCATTCTAGTATATGTTGATGATGTACTTCTTACCAGCAACTCAGCGAGTTTACTACAT